ATCTCGAGCACCTTCGCGCAGTATTGGAGCGGCTTCGTATCGCCAAGTACAAGGTGAACCGCGACAAGTGCGAGTTTGCCCAGCAAGAGCTGGAGTATGTAGGCCATTACGTCACGCCGCAAGGCATTCGTCCGCTCACGGACAAGATACAAGCCATTCAAGATTGGCCGGACCTCAAGTGTACTACTGACGTCCGCTCCTTTCTCGGCTTGGCATCCTACTACATGCGCTTCGTCAAAGGATTTCAACGTATCGCTGCACCATTGTCACGACTTCAGTCCCCCTTGGTGCCCTTCGAATTCAGTGACGAAGTCCGCCATGCGTTTCACACGCTGAAGACGACTTTGCTTCAAGCTCCCGTCTTAAGCATCTATGACCTGACGTTGCCTACCAAAGTGACTACGGACGCTTCCGGTTACGGCGTCGACGCGGTTTTGGAACAGCATGACGGCACAAACTGGCATCCGGTTGAGTACTTCAGCCCAAAGGTGCCGCCCATCAACACTCTTGATGATGCGAGGAAGAAGGAACTCCTAGCTTTTGTCACCGTACTTAAGTGTTGGCGTCATTTTCTCCTCGGGCGTCTGCGATTCACGTGGGCAATGGACAACAATCCGTTGACGTATTACAAGACGCAAGACTCGGTGACCAGCACGATCGGTCGGTGGATGTACTTCATTGATCAGTTCGACTTCACCTCCAAGCACATTCCGGGCTCCTCGAACAAGGCGGCGGATGCTCTCTCGCGAAGACCTGATCTTTGCGCCATGGTGCACTCCACGTTCGGCCTCGACGAGGACCTCCAACAGCATTTCGAAAATGGCTACAAGTCGGATCCGGGATTCTCCACACTTTACGCGGACTTATCATCGGACCAACCGCCGGCAAGCAACTACCGCATCACCGACGGCTACTTGCTCCTCCATATGCGAGGCAAGGACTTGTTGTGTGTTCCCCAAGACCGCATCTTCCAGGTATCCAGACAAGCAGTAATCATTCCAAAGGAATCTGCTCTTGTGGACAGTGAAGCATTGATGGCATTGTAAGAAACACAAATGCAAAGCAGGCTGAGGACTTTTTTGAAAAAATCTGGCCATATGTTAAGTCCAGATTATTATGCACTTATTTACTGATAGATAGTGTTGGACCCTTGACTGGTCGGCGACCCTTGACTGGTCGGCAGCCCGCCGACCAATCGGCTGGTCGGCACCTACCATTCGGGGGTCATTGGCACCCCACACTTTTTTTTTGGGGGGCGGGGGGGGTTCCAAAACCCCTAATAACTCCACCCACAGCGGCCCCCTATACCCCCATACACAAACCCAACACCCCAGAACCACCCCCAACACCCTTACGAAGCCCCCCAATATCCCCTATATGCCCCCTATACTCCAGCCCATACCTGCGGTGCATCGCATGCGCGCTAGCTTTGCACGTGCGGCGCATAACCCACGTGCACGTGATGCGGCACACTCGAATAAACAAGGTTAAAAAATATTTGGAGAGGTCTGGCTGAGGTAGCCAATGGTGCACCTCGCTTCTAAAATATCGAAGGGCACAGAATGAAAAAATTGGGCCCACGTATTCCTTGTTGAGTAGTCTTTTTCCCGGAGGACCCCAGCAGTTAATCCGCAAAGGTCCCAACATCTCAAGAGACGTTCAGCAAATTTCGTGTGAGAGAGGAGCAGGCCAGCAATATATGTTCTGGATCCGAAGTCAGGTCTAGTTTCCAGCAGTTATGGGTTACAAGTTACAACTACTTACTACCGTAGCTCTCTCTTTCTTTTCTTTCATTTTCCTACGAGCAGTGACCCTAAGGGCCTTGCTCCACTCGTCACTAGCACAAAAGACAAAACATATGGCTGCGTATGGTTCCATGTTCTAGCAGAAGATTCATTCCTCTCTTTCTTTTGTTTCCTTTTCCTACGAGCAGTGGCCCTAAGGGCCTTGCTCCACTCGTCACTACTTGCACAAAAGACAAAACATATGGCGGCGTACGGTTCCATGTTCTAGCAGAAGATTCATTCTAGTTTTGCACATTCGGTGAGTAGGGGAGGGAAGCGCTGAAAAGCACGTGGTGAGTTGGCCTGCTACTGCCCAGAAACTCGCGTGCTCAGTGGTCCCATAACTGCTGAAACACGGACCTTAATGTGAATCAACAGCATATATACTTGGCGTGCCAAAACTCTAGCGGGGCTACGAGCATTACCTCGTTCATGGTTAGGTGGCCAGTGCTAATTATGTGCAGGGGCCTCTTGGATAACCCGTAGGGATATTCAAATAAATGCTAAGGAGCTATTTGTTCTCTCTCTCTCTCTCTCTCTCTCTTGCGTGTTCTCACACATAACAGCTGTGTTTTTTTTTGTTTTTTTTTTTCCCCACCGGTGACGATCACACTTGCGCCGCAGGTATGCTCCAACCCTAATCCGCCCATACCCCCCCAAATCCCCAAAAGTTTCTCAGCGGATTTGGGCTCTACTCGGCAAGCGCAGTACAGCTCTCAACTCAGATTTGAAAAAAAAATCAGTGGATGGTTGTTTTCTGACTGTTCGGCAGACCGCAGACCGGTCGGCCCTACTGGTCGGCTGCAATACGGTCGGCGGTCGGCAGGGGTGCAACCCTGCTGATAGGTAGCTCTGGTTTAGCAGTGCTACATTCGCAGTCATTGCAGAAGTAAGAAGCTGAATCTCTCTGTTGATGTGGAATGTCTGTGGCATACTGTTGTGTGCTTGGCTACACTATACCATGGTGGAATTTGGACATGGGTAATTGTAAAGGAAATGGCAAATTCCTGTGGTGCTGCCTTTTTTTTTTCTTCTTTTTTTTGAGAAAATAGCTCGATCTATTGGTGGGGAGTGTCACCTGCTGGAAACCGGGTCCAGCGTCCCTTGAAAAAAACATATTTTTTGAAAGTTGAAACACATCTGCTGGAAAGCGGGGCCAGCGTCCCTTGAAAAAACATCTTTTTTGAAACACATCTGCTGGAAACCGCGTCAAGGTCTGCAACTGAACTTTTGTCCTGTCATGTTGTTTTGTGTTTGGCTACACCATACCATGCCAGACTTTGGACATGTGCAGTTGTAAAGGAAAAGTCAACTTACTGTGGTGCTGCTTGAACATCCTATGGAGCATCCATGATATTCGAAGGATGAGCATAAGCTTAACATTGCATCCTGCAAAATACAATTAATAACAGTCCTTGGAAAAGATCCATAATGGAAAATTAGCTCAAACAAGGTCTGCAGCTGTGCTTCATTGTTTTGTCTCTGGCTCTGCCGCTGTCTCCGTCCATCGGCCTGCCCACCGCTTGCCGATCCACTTGCGTGCCCACTTGCACGCCTGCTCACTCACCTGCCAACCTGCACATCTATGTGCCTAGCTGGCCACCCAGCCATCCGGCTGTCTGCCTGTCATTTGGCTGTCCGACCACCTGCCCACGACCTGCCTGGTGCTCACCTGCCCACCTGTTTGACTATGAATTCATCTGCGTGACCGTCCACCCAGCCATTCCCCCATCTGGCCAGCAGTGGTTTTGCCTCCAGTCTGCATCCCCGCTCACTCGCCTGCCAACCTGCCCATCTCTCTGCCGGCTGACCGCCCAGCCATCCAGCTGTCTGCTTATCTTTCAGCTGTCCAACCACCTGGCCACCACCTGCCTGCTGCTCAGGTGCCCACCTGTTTGACCATCCTCTCATCTGCCTGGTTCTCAACCCATCCATCCATCCATCCAGCCATCCAGCCATCCAGCCATCCAGCCATCTGGCCAATTGCCTCCCGTCTGAAGACTCTGAACGCCTGCTCACATGCTAGCCAACCTGCCCTTCTGTGTGCCTGGCTGGCTGCCCAGCCATGCTGCGGTCTGCCAGCCATTTGGCTGTCCGATCACCTGCCCATGGCCGACCTGCTGCTCACCTGCCCACCTGTTTGCCATCCGTTCATCTGCCTGGTTGTCCACCGAGCCGTAGTCATCTGGCCACCAGTTGGCCACTCGCCTCCCCTTTTTTTGTTCTTTCTTCGTTGTATAGCTATTCTGAACATCTGAGTAGCTCATTACTCTCAGGACGATAGGCTTCAATTGCATGACTCTGGCATATGACATTTTCCTCACTGTGACGTGGCAGGGCCTTAACCCTGTACCTGCTATCTTTGGCAGTTGTTTGGACTGTTTTGTTTGTGTCCAGGCCTTTGGCCTCTCCTTCCAAATCCCCAGTAGCTTGGCAGTTTTACAGGTCCAAATTCCTGGTAGCCTGATGCCAGAGTTCCCTTTTCGATTATTTAACTCTTGTGAGATGAGCTGAGCTTTGGCCTGTTCAGGCTCAAGCCTTGGCTGCATTACCCATACCGAAGGTCAGCAGCGCTGTTCACTTATCAATTGCTTTGGTGTATTCTTGGTTCAAGAATTTGTGATGCTGCTGAGTCGAGTTGATCTCAGTCTCTTTGTGTCCTTGTCCTGTCACTCTCACTTTCAGACTCTGGGCAGTCTCTCTCTATCCTTCTCCTGCCTACCTCTCACTCTCCGAGTGAAGTTCGATTGTGTGACAGTCGAGCCTCTCCTCTCCCACCCCTCTGCCATTTTGATGCCAGAAGCTCCTTTTTCAATTTTCAAACTCTTGGAGACTAGAGTTCTTGGACCTGTTCCGACCCAAGCCTTGGCAGCAGTACTTTACTGAAGGTCAGCAGCATTGTCCAACTATCATTCGGTCAAGTCCTTTGGTCTATTCTTGGTTCAAGAATCACCTGCTCCGACCTACGCAAATGCCCTCCCCCCTCTATCCTTCTCCTCCCTACCTCTCGCTCTCAGATTTTGAGTACTGCTTACTCAAGTTCACATGTGTGATAGTCACGCCTCTCCTCCCTTTGCACCACCTCTCTGCAGCAGTCCTGTAACACCCAACCATCTATGGGAGTATTATGTGTAATATGTGATGGAGTGCAGGTTGCTGATGGCGCTGAGCTGGCCTTGTTCCCTTCATGTCATGTCATGTATCTTGTGGTGGCAGATGGCACTCTTGTTACGTGCGTGGATGTTCTACATCTTACTCACTGGGCAGTAGCACAGGTGCGTGCAGCATTCTTTCCTGGGAATATATCATGCCGAGTCTACATGTTAAATATGTGGCCCTCTGAATGTCGGGGTTCCGGATTCCCTTGTTCTGTGTTCAAGACAAGGAAAGGGAGATGGGGTGCTCACCACTGGGGCCACTCTATGCTGCACGGCTTCTGAATCTTCCTGCAATGAGTCTCACAGAATCAGTCTGAGGCCTATGCAATTTTCTGAGTATTGCTGCTTCATACTTCGGTTTGCTGAGATTTCGGTGTTTGGAGTGAGATAGCTGTTTGCTTGCGTGTCTAAGTCCCTATGTGATATAATTCCTATGTGGAGTACGAACTGTGTTCTTGCCCTGTGTTTCTGTATATCGGAAGGGGTAGTTTGGAAATAGGAGAGCCACAGTGATAGGACTGAAGTTGAACACCTGATGATCTTCTAGAAAGGCCAGAACAATCAGGGACATCGGTACAAGTTGGCAAGTACCCCGATGTCAGCGGTAGCAGTGGTGCCACCACCCCTTGGCCTTATTAGTAACTATTTTCAACCGCAGGGGGATAGGTGGCAATTAAAGAACATCATCCAAAAATTATTTGTCAAATTAAGAGCCCTCTGGTCTAAGGAGGACACCAGTGTTCTTGGTACTAGTGACACCGCTGTCGCTTGGCTCTACTATGTGTCTGGCTGGGCAGAATGTCTTCCTTAACTTGTATTTAAGCAAAACGTCAGATCTCCCACGATGCTCCCACGCGAGACCCTGCCCGCTTGTGTTGGGAAAGGGCATGGGCCCAGGGTGGGCCCAGTAAAAATGAAAAAAGAAGCAGGAAAGAAAAACGGGGGTCATGGGGGAGGGCCCAGGTGGAAAACATTGCAGCCAGTCGTGTCGGCGAGCGGAATGGGGAAGGGGCTGCGGGGTTGTGGGGCAAGCAGCCAACCACGGAGCGAAAGAGACACCCCCGTTCACGAAGGGGAAGCAGCCTGGCGCGTGGAGAGAAACTATGATCGTCTTCCGCGAGGAACAGGCCAGGGGACGGGTGGAGGGTTTGATGGCGTGAAGGACATGGCAGTGTCGATTGCCAAAGGGGTACGATGTGAGCATGGAGGGTGAGGTCTCTCTCTCTCTCTCTCTCTCTCTCTTTCTCTCTCTCTCTCTCTCTCTCTCTCTCTCTCTCTCTCTCTCTCTCTCAGCATTACCGAAATCTCTCTTTTGCCTATGGTAGGGTGAGCTCTCTCTCTCTCTCTCTCTCTCTCTCTCTCTCTCTCTCTCTCTCTCTCGCTCTCTCTCTCGGTCCTTGACTAGGGGGGAGGTTTGCATGACATTGAGAAAGAGAAGGTGAAGGGATGCTGCTTTGGGCAGTTGGGCAATGCCACTAAGGCGAGGGCATAGCATCAAGCAGAGGAAGCAGTGACATAGGCATGTGTCAACATGCGTTAGACCTCTCTCTCTCTCTCTCTCTCTCTCTCTCTCTCTCTCTCTCTCTCTCTCTCTCTCTCTCTCTCTCTCTCTCTCTCTCTCTCTCTCTCTCTCTCTCTCTCTCTCTCTCTCTCTTTTTGAGCGGGCTAAGTGTAAGTCCCACTACTATCATTCTTAACAACCTTTCAAAGGATGGTATCGAGAGTTTTGTTAGTGTCCTCAATCTTACCATCCGTCTAAGGGTGGTAAGATTACCAGAAGCGGAGCTGAGATCCGTACGCGTCACTGTTAGAAATGATGCTCTGAGGTAGGCCGTGGTCCCCATGACTCGTTCAAAGATGATGTTGGCGATCTTACGAGCGCCAGTGAAATAGCGGCACGAGATAAAATGTGCGTGCTCTGTGAAGTGGTCGATAACAACCAAATTAGCATCATGACCACACTCAGTGGAAGGGCGGAGGGGACCGACAATGTTCATAGAGATGGACTGCCAACAACTGTCAGGTATGGGTGGAGGCTAGAGTAACTCATATGGAGGGTGGTTCACATTGTTCACCTCATGGTAGGTATGGCATGCAATCCGTTGATCGTGGAACTGTACTATGGCTTGAACACGAAGCTAAGTAGTGAAAGCAACACATACTCATGATTCTCGCCGACCACGTAGTCCATGCTAATACAGGAGATTGTTCATGTATAGGAAGTATGAGGAACGGTCTCATCTCGCTCCAATTTTCGTTTGGATATTGCAAAAATCAGGGAAGCAATAGCGTCATGATTGTCGTCAGGGCGTCAGGATAAGGCGTTCGCAACTTTGTTTGACTCTACCCAGATATGCTGAACGGAGAAAGTGAACTTAAATAGGTCTTGCCACCAATGTGCCGGTTGAGGGGAAAGTTTGGCTTTCATGAGGAAAGTCGCGAAAACAGAGTTGTCCGTGAGCACAATGAAGTGCGTACCCTGCAGGTAATGGCGCCAATACCGATCGGCGGGATAAGGTGTTCGCAACTTTGTTCGACTCTACCTAGGTATGTTGAACGAAGAAAGTGATCTCAAATAGCTCTTGCCACCAGTGTGTCAGTCGAGGGGAAAGCTTGGCTTTCATAAGGAAAGCCGCGGAAACAGAGTCGTCCGTGAGCACAATGAAGTGCGTACCCTGCAGGCAATGGCGCCAATGCTGAGTGGCATAAACTACTGTGAGAACCGTACGTTCTCCAGCTACGGTGTTTATCTTGGCGGGCAATAAATGACAACAATGATAGGCAATTCGACATTCGCGAGCACAGGCCTCGACGGTCCTGTCCTCCACGATGATTGGAGAATAGGTGATGGGTGAACTATCAGTTGTGGAAGGGTATGGGGTCCAAAGTCGAAAGGGGTGACCTGCACCCCTACGTGAATTTAATATACTCTTGGAAATCCAAGAGTCAAGCCCAACTCGCGAAAAGCGGACCAAGAGTCAAAGATTTCTCATCAGTCAACCACGTCCATAGATCAGATGCACAGTCAAGGGGAGCATTGTGCGTCCTTGCGTGCTCCCAAGGAGGTGTTTTTCCCATCTTTGTTCCACAATCTCATCAACCCAGACGTGCAGTACAGTCCAGAATGCTTGTTCGGCGCTCAGTTTTGGGATGTCGTCCATTGTCTTCCATGCCCACTCCACCGGATCGAATTCGAGATCCTGCAGTTCTATTGTGGAACTATATATTCTGTAGGAGTCGTCCTCAAACACTCGGATCTTACAAAGCATGGCTGGTTTAGCTACCACTCTGGCGCGTACTGTCTTGTTTACGGTACTGATAGTCTGGCCCGGGTGGTCTATATCGTGCATGGGCACAATATCCATTCTCCTAATGGGCCTGTTGGCTTGACGTACGACAGGGCGACTGTGGGTGTGGACTCCCAGGTCCATGTGGCCCAGTCTCCTTAAGCGCTTGCAACAGCGGTAACCATTCTGGTGGTTCGGAGTTCTGCAAGGCGTCAAAGTTGGCATGCAGATTGTGGCATCCCTTCAAGGGTTCTCTGAGTTCCGTATATGTTTTCCATCGATTGTGTTGGTGGTTCCAAATGTGCTGGACTTGCCATACACCCCGCTCCAGCCAGAAAATCCATCTGCCATCTTGTGATGTCAGCGTCCACGGTTCGTCTGTAGGATCCTTCAACCATTGGTTGCAGAAGAGGGGCTGGCGCAACACCTCTTGACGAGGTACATTAAATAACCCTAGTGAGGTGTCTGCTGACTGTCTTGCTGTTGTTCTTGCTGTTGGGTAGTACTACGTGTCGACCATAATTTGGTGATCATCCAAACTGGCCTTGGAAGTTGGTTGGCATCACTGCTTTTGGCAGCTGTCGTATTCGATGTGAGCCCAGAGAAGTCCATGGCAGACCTTGTTGGGTGAGCAGTTTGACCACCCAGTTAGATTGGAGGGCTTTGGTTTGCACGACGGGTCGAGGACTCCCAATCCACCCCTGCGCTTTGATTGCGTCACTTGTGTCCAAGCCACTTTTGGTATGAAGTTTTGCCTTGTCGGGTTACCCGACCAAAGATAGGTTGTGGCCCTCAGTTTGAGGGTGCTGGCCATATTTTGCTCTGGTGTCCAGATTGTGGCTGCATACCAGAGCATGGAAAAAATGGAGGCATTGAGTATCAGCGCCCGGTCGAAAACTGAGGTGTAAATGCTAAGACCATATGTCCATCTTGCGTAGCATCCTTGTTAATATCTCTGGCACAATTGCTTGGTCAGGTCCCGTCTCTGTCAGTTTTATGCCCAGGAAGCGCAGCGGTGTCTTGGGATCTTGCCTTGAGAATCCTAGCAGAGAGGTGGCTGGTGGGGGTGGCGGGCCGTCCACCAACCACCAGCCGACGGTCTTCTGACCAATTGACTTCATTTCGGAGGCCAATTGGAATGCCTGCATTGCACGTGTCAAGGCCTGAAATGAGGCGTTGGAGGCTTTAATGACCACTGTGAGGTCATCTGTGAAAAGGAGGGTTGTCGGCAGGGAAACCTCATGTGCGGGCGCAGCCGTCTCTGCCACCAGTCTGTCAATGGAAGGGTCCTTGCGCAAGAAGGAAGCAGTCGCTTCTCATTCTGTATAATGGTGAGCCATTGACCTGCACCTGTCTGTGGGCTTGGTTGTACAGCATCCGTACCAATCTACGAACGTTCGGTCCCACCCCCATCTGCTCCATGCATTGCGGTTGGAAGGACCAATTGACTTGATCATACGCCTTCTTGATTATGAAAGCAATGGCTGGTGATCTTGCTGAGCCTGTTGGCCAAGAGCTTGGCCAGCACTTTGTATATCACTGTTAGCAATGTTATAGGCCTGTATATCACTGTTAGCAATGTTATAGGCCTGTAGTTCTTGATGTCCGCAGGGTCCCTTTTTTTGTAACGTTATATCACAACTCCAGTGTTGAGGTACGTGCCCAGGCTCTCCTCTCCCTCCGCCATGTCGAGGAAGGACATGTACTCGTTCTGAAATATTGGCCAGAAGGTCTGCCAGAACTCCTTGAAGAGGCCATCTCTTCCCGGTGTTTTGTTTGGTTGCAAAGAGTGCAGCGCGGCTCTGATATCTGTCTGCGTGAGGGGCTTGTCGAGTTCGTCACTTTGTTCTTGTGTGAGAGTTCTGTCGAGGTGGGAGAGAAACGTACTCTGCGCTTCCATTACCACGGCCCCTTTGGTTTTCTGTTGATGTATACAGGTTTTTGTAAAAGTCTGCCGTTTTTGACAGTATTCGGTTGGGGTCAGATGTCACTGGGTCCCCGTCACCCGTTCGCAGCTGGTCTATGAGCTTGTTTCATGTGTTGTTTGTGTTCTTCAGTTTTGTTCAAACTAGCCTGTGCTGGCTCATAATCTCATTATGTTTCTGTTGTTTTGCTGGAAGTGATAGTGCTGGGATTTGATCCCAGGCCCTGTAGAACTCGTTACCAGGTTGGGAGTGAGTTGTTCATGCTGGGTTTTAAACCCAGGTAGCCTGTTGTTCATGGCGGGTTTTGAACCCAGGCAGACTGTTGAGCAGCATTGGCTAGTCTGATTTATGATGGGCCCATAGCTGCACAGTTCTATTGAGAGTTCCAGTGCAGAGCTCGATACTGGCCGCAATTCGAGTTGACAGGGCACTACTTCTGTGGGGAACGGCAAAGCACCTTTGATGGTCCACCATGGCAGGTGAGAAGTAGGAGCACCCATGATTTCTGAGATCTCTACCACTTCGCAATCATTTACGATTCCGTTTGTCCCACGTTGCTGGGTGTGGCTGAGCTTAAGTGGGCAAGTTTTGAAAAAGTTTCCTTCCGTGTGTGATCTGCGAGAAGCCATTCTTTATGAAGTTGATTAAACCTGAAAACAAGTTCAGTTGTAGCATTCTATTTACCGATCTCGAATTACTTATTTGTTTATTTATTTTACCTTGTGTATTCTTCGGGGGCTGAGTATCATGGCATTCCAATGGCTGTCACTTGGCAGGTCGGAACTACAAACCAGGCAGATACGAATGGAATGATGCAGCGGTTTTGGGACTCTGCATTCTCGCTGGATCCTCCGGAGGAGGATGAGGATGCACTGAGGTGGGTGTCAATATCACTTCTTGAATTGGTTGATTTTTATCGCATGGTATCTAGGGTAGATCTAGTCACCACCGGGAAGGTTCTGGAAAGCGTCTTGTTGTGCAATTCCTGGGTTTATTTTGCCCTGCATTTCTGTGTGTCAGCTTTAAGGCATGGGTGGTGCAATGGCTGGGGCCTAGAGAGTTACTGGTCCTGAGGGTAGGACAACGAAGACTGGTACGTTGTGCAAGATTGAGGTACAACCTCTCCCCTTTTTGTGGAGTTACAAGAAAACCTTGAGAAGGGAGCAGCACTGCGAGGGGGTGCAAGGCTGAGCTACACCCTCCTTGCTACTTGTAGAGTTCGTGAGAGAGGTCACAAGCTAGCCTCCTCTTGCCCCTTTAATGGCATGTGTCAGTGGTGTTGGATCTCCCCACTGATCACCTTCCACCTTTCTCAAGTTAGAAGTAGGCTCTGGGATGCGACCAGAGGAGGATGACAGCTGCTGATGTGGAGGAGAAGGTGGAGAAAGGAGGAGGGAGAAAAGAACTTCGTCACGAAAGAGCAGGAGAGAGAGGTGGCACTAGACTAAGACGAAAAGATCCAGTCAAATGCTCTTTGTTGTTGGGTTGTCCAAGTTTTGACTTTTTTGTTTTTTTCCGACGAAAGGCCTCCTGGACTTTGCCCCTTTTCTTGGTAGCATTAGTCTGGTTCCTCCTCTACCAGAAGTTGAAAGGAAACAAATAAACTGGACTCAATGCTTCCTCCCTATTACGGCCAGGGTATTCTCTGACAACATTGATTACTTCCTGAGGAAGAATTGACTGTCGAATATGCCCAATTCATTTAGTCATCTCATTGCCTTTTTCCTATCCTATGCTCTCAAAAACGGCAGACCTGAAAGGGTTGTCCAAGCTGCTGAGGGCAGACTGCCAGAAAGTCATGATAACTGGAAAGGTTCCTCCTTTACATGTGTTTCTCATGGTCCGTGGCTATGGCCGCCAGCAACAACAACAAGCTGGTAACTCTCTCTCTACCTAGTTTTCCATGAATCCAAACTTTTGCCCTTTTCAAAGAGCGATCAGTTCCCTTTTCGAGGATTCATGTGACCTCCAACGATGGGCAGTCAGGCTGACTTGACCGGATAGGGAACACAGGTTATTACCTGTGCCCAAGCCACCAGGCCGAGGAAGACCACTGAAATCTCAATTGAAGTATCAAAGTTCACTTTCGGACATCATGTTGAACCAAGAGAAGAATTGACTCAGTCTGCAGCCCAACTGGTTTCACACTATGAGAGGTCTAGGGAAGCACAACAAGAATCAGTGTATTTCAAAGGACTTTCAAACCTAAGGGAGGTGAATGTGGGGCTTCTAGGCCTCAGCAGCCCCCACCGAAACACCCAGGCGAGCCCCAAGTGAAGGCCCCAACCAGGTAACTACATGGCAGGTCCTGCACTGGGCTCCCAACCAAGCAGTTGCCTGGGCCAGGTATCTTGGTAGGAAGTGCCTATCGGAGGGCCCAGAACCCGGTCGGGACATATGCACATTGGGCAGCGGGGAGCTAGAGGCAACGGATGAGAAAGTGTGTAGCCAGTGCCCAGCAAAAGAAAGGCAGCATTGCAGAGGCTGCCCGTGAGTGTTTGCCATAGCTGGTAGGCAGTACTGTGTGTGAGTGAAGGTGGCGGGTGGACGGGTGGTCAGGGAAGGAGGAAGCGCCTATTGGAGGGCCCAGACCCCGGCATCAGAAACAAACAAAAGAAGCAAGGTTGGGACATATGCACATTGGGAAGCTGGCAGCTAGAGGCAACAAATGAGAAAGCATGCAGCCAGTGCCCAAGCAGAAGGAAGGCAGCATTGCGGAGGCTGCCCCTGAGCGTTTGCCATAGCTGGTAGGCAGCACTGTGTTTGATAGAAGGTGGCGAGTGGACGGGTGGTCAGGGAAGGAGAGCAGCAGTGGGGACTGGTGTGTACTTATGTGGTGTGTGCCCAAGGAGCACCTACGTGATCAGACTCTGTACAAATCCCTACACTATTAAAATTGCTAAGGTAACAAATCCGAAATCTGGGCCGTCGTCGGTCCTACCGGCCCACGGCCCAGATCGACCTAACCATGTAACAAATCTGCGATCTGGGCCGTCGGGCCCTACCAGACCGACAGCCTGGATAGATGCAGTCTTAAGATCTTAGTCCCGCGCCGAGATCCAGGCCGTCCGTCCGGATCGACGGCTCAGATAGCCGCGCGGCGGAGTGCTGTGGGGTACTACCGGTCAAGTGCCATGCGGTGCTACTGGGCTACTGGAGTCGAGGGCGCTTCACGACGGCAGGCCAACCCAACATTCCCGTTGGACTGAACGTTGTCGTGCATCAGTTGTGTTCTGCTGTTGTCGTGAAGCACGCCGTGCTGTTGTTTTGAAGCGCCCGTTTGTGAAGCGCCCTGTTGTGGAACACTCTCTCTCTCTCTCTCTCTCTCTCTCTCTCTCTCTCTCTCTCTCTCTCTCTCTCTCTCTCTCTCTCTCTCTC